AGGCACACTTTGCTCGCACCCGCATGGACATAAGGCATATTGACTTTTGGTGCAAGGCCGAATCATAACCCTTGATGTTTCAATGATACAATTTTGATCGGGTGTAATCAAGAGGCACCATTCAAAAGTTAACAAACATTAATTGTTAACTAACTTTTAATAGTCACAAGGTTTGAAATTGTGATTGTTCAAAAAGGCTTTTCTAAACCAGCACCTTCCTCTTCTCCATGACTCTTCGGAAATTATATAAGGAGCATGAATCAAGCAAGTGAATACAAGTTTTCGAAAATGACTCTTGTTTCTCACAGTTCGATCTGCTATTGTGTGACAGAAGGTTTGTTCAAAGACTTTTCTACTTTACTGGTTGTAGATAACGTTCTCAAGGCTCTGTTGTATCCTGGGAACAAATTTGCCTATACCCCAACAACAAACTCAGTAAAATTAAGTAGTGGCATTTAATGTTCTAAAGAAAGTGCCTTTAGGCACACTTTAGAGCTTTGCCTCCAATTTTTTGTGACCTCAATTCCCAATAGTAATTACTCATGAATGGTTGCAATAGAGATCTTTGTGACATTAGTTGGTAGATTTTGATATGGATAGACAAAATTGTGAATATATTTCAAACTTTTTTTCTAAAGTGTATTTTTTTGTACAAAATAGGTCTAAGACTATGTGTTCACATGTGGTGATGGGTCTTACTAGTGGGGCTGCCCCAAAGAGTTGGCTAGACTTTTAATATAGTTTTATTTCACTTATTGACAAACGAACCAGTGAATAGAAATGGCAAGAATGGAAATTGTATTTCATTTCATACATCGATACATATATATATAGAAATGTATAACCACCTTAGCCATTTGGCCCACATGTGTCATCTATACAGTTTTAACAAACTCAAGTGTTGCCTCACCTCTTACACTCCTCAAGTTGGGTGGCAAGGAAATAAATTGTTTTGAACCCAAAGCTTTGGTAAGTAAGTCAACTAGTTTTGATTGAGTGGGAAGATGACTGAGTTGTATAGCCTTAGATTATATATGCTCCCGAGCAAAATGACAATTGATATCAATGTGTTTTGTTTGTTCATGGAATATTGGATTTGTAGCAATATGAATGGTAGCCTTGCTATCACAAAATGGCTTATAGGTTGAGAGAGAGAAAGGCCAAGATCATGTAACACGCGCTTTAACCACAAAAGTTCTTTGGTAGCAATGGCCATGGCATGATACTTTGCTTTAGCTAAGGAGTGTGATATAGTGGCCTGTTTCTTGGTCTTCCAAGAAAGTATAGATTGCTTAAGTATGGTCAAATACTTAGTGGTAGAGCATCGAGTTAGGGGGTAGGTCATAGGTGGCTCAATCAAAATCACAATAAGGCTGAACAACTAAATCATTGGAGGCAAAACAGAAAATGCCACGTCCAGGCTCCCCCTTAATGTAATGAAGGACTCGTTTGGTAGCATCCATGTGTTCTTGATGTGGGGCATTTAAATGTTGGGTTAGCACATATATTGGGAAGGTTAGCTTTGGCATGGTGATGGAGGCACCAATATTGGCCTGGTGAGGGGAGAGGACACCAATATAGCCCTAGGATTATCCGAGGGATGAAAGTAATAAGGTGAGGTTAGATCAAGATCTCCAACCATTAATAAAACTGTATAACAATGAGTTTTATCAAGAAACTTTGTAAATTCTGCCAAGAAATAGAGTAGTCTTCAATAATGAGCTCTCTCAAGAATTGTTTCTATTGTAACAAGAATAGAAATCAGGCATCAAGAAATCTTGACAATGGTGGTATCAGTCTTGACCAGAAGCAATCAACATCAATAACTGTCGATCATTGAACTTGTATAGTTAGAAATAATATAGGGTTGGGCGTCAAGGCTCTAATACCATGACAAATGAACCAGCAAAGAGAAATATAAATTTATAAGTGTAAAACCTTATATTTTGTATGTATTTGCACAGTACATATTTGTATTTGTATTCTTTCCAAACTGAGCCTAAGGCTGTGTTTGGTTGCAATGCAAATAAATTTGTATTGATGCAAAACCATGGCAATGCAAATGATTTAAGTGTAAGTTCTAACCTATTTTAGTTTCAAATTTTAACTTATTTTGCTTGATTGCAGTAAAAGTGAAGTAAATTAAGACATGAAGCAGAATAAAGTAAAATCCAAAACAAAATTAAACAAGAATTTGCATTTTTTTACATTTGCACTCCCATGCATTTGTATTAGTGCAAATAAATTTGCACTGCAACCAAACACAACCTAAGGCTCAATTTGGAAGGAGTACAAATGCAAATATGTAGAGTGTAAAACCTTGTATTTTACACTCTAGGGTACAAATACGCAAACAGAGCCTAGGGTGCAAATTGAATTGCCCAAATTAAAGACCTTCAACTACATAGGCTTCTTAGGTCAGGGTTTGCGTCCATTCAAAATTCAACAAATGTGAATCTAACTTGATCCAAATTATAACCTTAGGCTGTGTTTGGTTGCAGAGCAATTTTATTTGGACTAGAACAAATGTATGGGAGTGCAAATGAAAAAAAAATGCAAAATTTGGTTTAATTTTGTTTTGGATTTTACTTTATTCTACTTTATATCTTATTTTACTTCATTTTTAATGCAACCAAACAAAGTAAGGTAAATTTTAATACAAAAATAAATCAAAACTTGCAACCAAATCATTTGCACTCCCATAGTTTCACACAAGTGCAAATTCATTTGCACTGCAACTAAACATAGCCTTAGTTCCAATTGGTTTTGGTTAATTTAGTCTGCTTCTCTACCATCACTGTTCCATTTCAATGACATTTTTTTTTTATTTAGTTTTTCTTTGAATACTTTTGTATTCATTGTTCACCAATTTATTTTTAAAAAACCGTGATTCTGTTTGAGTTTGGTCCAACCATCTAACCTAATTTGGATTTTGAAACATATATCCAAAGGTACGTAGCAAAAAATAAATGGTATAGATTATATTTGATCAAGTGTTAGAGCCTATTGGTTTCTTATTAATACCTCTTATCTTTAATTAATGCTTAAATTTTCAGTACTAAGAGCATTCAACTATAACTAATAAGATTGATTAGTAAGGATATGCCATTATTACTTCAAACATTTTCAGTTACTTCCCCTTTCACCCTTCTATTGTTTACATGTATATTCGTATTCTGCTAAGGTAATTTAATTGTTTTGGTTGATCTTGTGGAATACAAGTTCTAATAAATTGTTCATAATAAATAAATAACAACAATACCGAAAAAAACAATGTTTAACTATCAATTAACTATTTATTAAATGTTCAATTATTCAATCATTTTTATTAATTACTTATCTTTTGAATTTTTAATTGTTTATTAAGTATTTAGCAACTTAGTAACTATTTAGTGATGATTAATTGACAGGCATATGCATAGTATAGTTTAATTAATTATCAATTAACTATTATATGCATAGTAGTATAATTAATTATTAGTATAGTTTAATTATCATTTTTTGAGAACCCACCATTCAGATTTGACAGGCATTAGATTTCATAATCAACAAAGATTCATCACTAATGTATACTTATAAAAATAATTAACAAAGTATTGACTTTCTTTTAGTATTAGAGTCATCGATTTAATGCAATCAAACAAGGCCTTAGCCAATAGCCACGTGCCTACCCATCTTTTCAAAAAAGAAAAAAGTGCATATTTCTACCAAAAAAAGTTGGAATAATCAGCATCACGTGGAACCCATGTTAATAACATGAAGAACACTTTTATTTTTTTAGTAAAATCAATTTTAATTGATTTTTATTAAAATACATATAAAAAATTATTAAAATGCAAATATTAACAAATAAAATTGAATTTCTTAAATTTATCATATAGACTATTAGAAGTGCACATGTTATGTCACCATTTACAAGTAAAGGATAAAAATGTAAATTAAATATTTAAACATTTTATAAGAAAAATTTAACCTTTATATCTATACGGAAGCCAAGGCCCAAGGGTATAAACTATAAAGTATAGAGGATACGAAGAATATGTCATGGGTGTTGCCTAATGTTTTTGAACCGTTATTAATTTGGATGGTTGGACTATTTGGCAAGAAAACCATTTAGATAACCGCCCTTAGGTCTTAATTTGTCTTTTGGTAAGAAACTGTTGATTTGGTTAATGATTTATTGACTTGAGTAGTTAAACCGTCAATTTATTCAATTAAGACAATATTTTTTGATTGTTTATTTATTTTTATTATTTTTTATTTTTTAAATTTAAACAAGCCATCCCTTCAAATTGGATGGTCAATGGATGACCTGAAAATCTATGGTCAAAGCGGTTTCGATTCTAGATCAGTTTTTAAAACATTGGTGTGGACATTCAAAAAATACGTGAAAATACACCCTAAGAATTTTTATTTGCATTGTATGATTAGGGTAGGTACCTGTTTAGAATTGATTTTAATACACAAAGGAGTATTTGTATTTTAGGGGGGACCAGATCTATTAGGCACAACATAAATAAACATATTAAATGAACACTTGATAAATATTTTGACAAGTATCAAAAGTGGTATTAAGGACTTAGGGTGCTTATTAAATGTGCTTACAAAGTTGTGCCTACGGGATCCAAACTGGGATTAGGGTGGGGCATTTATCAATAATAATTGTGTCGTACTAGGTACGGGTTGATACATTATTAGTATCGAAATGAATGGATTGCAGTTTGGAGATGATGATATATACAGGGTCGCTGGTATGAGTGCTAAGGTCATTCAATAACGTGCCAGCCACGTAAGGAGACGACTTTAAACAATTCTCTGTGTCAGATTGTCGGATGATACTTTTACCCATACAGTGAAAGTTGATTCCAATCAGACGATTTTAATTCCTTGGACCCATATCAGGAACCAAAATCAGAATCAACCCCCCTTCACATGTCAAAGCGGAACCTTCACTGCATCTTCACCTTTTCAACCTTTCCAACCCGTGGAGCATGCCAGAGAAGACCTGACTCGGCCAACACTCAACAGTTCTGAGACCCCCGACTCACGACCCACTCAACTGACAAAATTTCTCCCATCACCCAAAATGCCAAATATTCTGTCTCACCTAAAAAGTGAGAGAGACGCCCTTCTTGCTCTGAAAAACCCAGGGACTCTTTCGGAGAGGGAGGGAGGGAGCCGGTGATCAAATCTTGCAATCTAAGATACACCCATGAAGAAATCTTCCTCAGCTTCGGTTTCACGGCCAGCCGCAGTCCTCCCCTACAAGACCCAGGGCCTCAGGGAGAACTATCTGATCGGCAAAAAGCTTGGTCAAGGCCAGTTTGGCACCACGTACCTCTGCAAAGAGAAGTCCACGGGCCGTGAATATGCCTGCAAATCTATCCCCAAGAGGAAGCTCTTGTGCAGGGAGGACTATGAGGATGTCTGGAGGGAGATTCAGATAATGCATCACTTGTCTGAGCACCCTAATGTGGTCAGGATTAGAGGGGCCTATGAGGATCCCGTGTTTGTTCATCTGGTCATGGAGCTTTGCGCCGGCGGCGAGCTCTTTGACCGGATTATCAAGAAGGGGCATTACAGTGAGAGGGAGGCTGCGAAGCTGATCAAGACTATTGTTGGGGTTGTGGAGGCATGCCACTCCCTTGGGGTCATGCATAGGGACCTCAAGCCTGAGAATTTCTTGTTCGTTAGCACTGACGAGGATGCCGCACTCAAGGCCACCGATTTTGGATTGTCTGTCTTCTATAAGCCAGGTTGGTTGATGGGTTCCTTCCAAATTCTTCGATTTTTGCATTCACGTTTTTTACTTGATTCTTTGAATGAAAATGACTGTTTATTGGGCGATGGGTTTGAAGTTTGGTCATCGGGAGTCTTGTGTTGATTAGTCTTTTAGCCAGAGCTGATATTATAGAAATAGATCGTCTTGTCGTTGCGCGTGGTGTGGATTCCTATATATTTGATTGTGGAAAAACATAAATAAAAGATGCTTAAGTTGTGTGCACTAGTGAATTGGTTATATTTTGAACAAAAAGATTGCTTTATGCTGTCAGAAATGTATATATTATCATCATCATCGAAATCGAAGATGGCATTCTAACAGAGAAACCGGAAGGATACAATAAACGAGAGTCCACCCACGTGATAGGGTCTTCCTTAAGCTTCCACTAACAAATAGAAACAACTTATTTTCTAAATATGTGGGGATAATGACATGACAGGAAAAAAAACAGAAAAGAAAAGAGTTTCAGGAGATTCAGATGTCTCTATGGATGGACAGGAATACATGCACGGAACAAACAACTATTATTTGGTCAAATTCTGGACTCCGGTGAAATGTCCAATGGACAAATTCCTTTTTCCATGGCGTGAACGGCCTTTATCATAGACTTTAGACAGGAAAAGGCCTAAAGGGAAAACATTTTTTATTTTTTTTACATGGCATTACTGCATGATATGGTACATTTTTTTATAGTAATATGGGTCACCATGTGGATGATATTAAATGTGTTTTGTTTCCACGGAAGTGATGAGTTGTAGTAGGGAAGAGAAGTGTTGAAAAGATAACCTCACCAATGACCACTACTAAGCATCTGCAGTAGGAAACATTGAAGGCCTTCAGGCTCATTCTTATTGAAAATGTGGTCTCTGATAGCCATGCGCCAATCTTATGCTATTGAGACATTGTAGACGAGATTAATAAGAGGCAGGAATGTAGCCTGTTCTATCTCATCAAAAAAGGGTTGCTGATTTCACCATTGTCCTGTGGTAAATGAATCTCTTCTTTGGAGATTTGAATTAATAGAATTAAAGCATGTTGCAATAGCTCAATTATGTCTTTGCATGAAAGTGTTCCTCCTTGAAAATTCTGATACACAAGTTTTACCATATGGTATTAGAGGAATATCAAAGTTCTTTTTTGGTGTCATCAATAACCTAAAGAAATTTTCAGGATGATAGAGCCTTACAGCCCTCATCCAATTTCTTCTAAGGTGACTTTTTGGGTACTCAGATCTCTTTTCTTGTTGAGATCCAAGGGTATTAGACATGAGCCTTGTATCACATATTTAGTTGTTATAAGTTTGGATTTTATGAAACAAAGAAGGTGAAAAAGAAAAGCTACAATGAGAACGAAAGCAATGGATTTTCTACCAACTCAAGGTTGGAGCATTCATTTGTTTCTCTTTTTCATGGTTGTTGGGGTGGAGGGAGTTGGTTATATAGATCCAGTGGGACTCAATGCCCGAAACTTTTTAAAATACCAAACTCAAAATGGGTGTTTTGGTGAAAATGATGGGTTCTATTAGTCTGACATTTTAAGATTGTTATTATTAACTCAAGTTGTTGACTTGTTGCTTACGTTTATATCATCAGATGCTGTCATATATATTTCCCTGCATATCTCTTTCCTCTTTATATTTCCATTGACCTTAGCTTGGAACATGACAAAGATATCATACTCTAATGTTGAAACCTTTATGAGTTTCCTTTTTCAAAAGCATCTGATATCCAAGTCCAAGGAGTTCTCCGAAACAAAAATATAAGTCTTTTTGAGGTGATAATGATTTAATTCAAGAGTACACCATGTTTACGTTATTTGCCTTGTTTAGTTCCCTAAATATGTTAGGTATCTCTTGGTTGTTTCATTAAGGCAGTTTCTAGACGAGGCAGAAACAAAATCATAAATGGGAATTGGCACCCTAATTTGCAAGTTTCTGGTTGTATCCTTTGGCTTTAAGAATGATGTCAAGTGAAATCTGGAAACTTGTGGAACTGGAGTCACTAGTTCTCCAGTTTTGCTGAGTTTCAGAATTTGCAGGGTGTGGTGGGTGGTTAGCTGGTTATATGATTTATGAGGTTTTCGGCCACACTAGTATTAAATCTATTTCTCATGTATCCTGACCTTACCAAAATAAATGTGTTTTTTTAGTATCATCTCTGCTAGTATTGAAGTATTCATTGTTTTCATATTGAGTGAAAATTAGGAATGTTGGTTGGCTAACCATTTAAATCACTTCATGAGTTTTTCTATCCAGTCTATAAAAATGGGGTAAGTAATAAGTGCATCTTATGTAATTGGTTGTCATTAACTGTTAGAGGGATGAGTAATTTATTTTAGGGAGTTTTATTATTCATAAAAAAATTTCTCTTGTTTGTTCAACAAGTTTGGATGTCCATCAAAGGTTTGGAGTTCCAGGCCTGTCCCTTAGTTTCAAACAAGAAAAAAGGAAAAATTCACTTATTTTCTTTCTTTTGGAAGTAGCTGATACTACCTGCTATCACACTTGGTGGGAGGGGGGGGGGGCTTCTCTGTGGAAAATCAGAGCCTCCTTTTAATGGAGGTGTATATACCAGAAATCATTGCCTCAATGTAGGCAAACTTGTTTCTCCAAGAAGCTGAGCTGATTTACTTGTCCTAAGGTGGCTGGGTGCTTCAAAAAATTCCAATCTTTCATATCTAATTCCCCTTTGCAGCAGTTACTTTCTATTACAATAAGAAAAAGAGTCCTGTTTTCACATGAAAAATAAAATTTATTTTGAATCCATGCTTCTTCTTGCAGCATCCTAAACCACTCATTATCTCTCTTTAATTCAGTCTTAGGTATTCTAATTTCTAAACGCAATATTATTAGATCATATTAATACTGGAGTTTGGGACTAAAACAGAATGGAATGGCAAGCAGGATTTCATGTAGCTAACCACATGTGGTTGGAATTGATAAAAAAAAAAACCACATATGGTTGGAACAAGGCTTAGCTTTGATGATGATGATGATTAATATTGAAATTTGGGACTGCTGGAGACCCTGAGGCAACCTGATGCCTGAGTTTTTGAACAAACAACCCCAAGAAAGACAATTTCTAAAAGGTTTTGAAAATATAAACAACAAGCCGTTTCCCTTCAAATAGAGTGTCTTCTTGAATTCAAGGCTTGAGATGGTCTGGTCTCGAAAAAAGAATTTACAATAAAATACATCTAGATGTGTTTTAACTTTTCTTTAAGAAAAAGAATGGGCTTAATGCAATCCAATAACTTACAGCCTGGTTTTTTTTATCATAACTAACTTGCAGCCTGTTTAAAACCCAATTAAGTAGGTTGGATCATGTCTTTGAAAGGAGGCTAATGAGAGGGCTTCAGCTTTGATTGAGATGCATTGACTGAGCCACTTTGAAGAAGCATGTAAAACTAGCTTCGTTGACTAAGCCACTTATTTTGACTTTCTGGAGTTTTCACCAAACATAGCTTCTAGGCTTTCTGTGTAGGGCCTGCCTTGCAACGCAAGAAGCCACTGCATGAAAGTCCTCCCAACTGGTCATTTAATCTCCTTAGAGGGAGGCTACACCCCTCCTTCTGGAGAAAGATTTCCGTGTAACCCAAAGAACTTTGAGAGAATTAAAGAGTTCAATCTCTAAAGAATGAAGAGAGAAAGAAAAAATAAGAATGAAGAGTGAAAAAAAAAAGGCTTGTACAAAGGAAGCAAAGATGAAGAAACGGGAGGAAGATAAAGACACCTAAGATATCTATTTTAGGGATTCTTTAACAAGAAAAGAGAAAAGAACTATCATTCTACCTACATAAGGCTCCATTTGGGAAGAGTGCAAATGCCAATTCAGTGCGTATTTGCAGTCTGGTTCAGTTTTGCTAGTGTTTGGTAAGAGTGCATGTTAAAAATTACAGTAAATGCAGATTTCAAGACATGTTTGCATCCAAAAAATGGAAGTGAACTTTGCACTCAAAGTTGACCAATGTTAAAAAGGTATATTTCGATCTCAGGATCCGTGTTTGTACCTATCACAACTAAAAATCGTTTGTCAAGAAAGTATATTTATTAATGCAAAACTAAACCAACTTTACATTTGCATGGACCAGAATGCACTCTACATATTTGTATTTGCACTCTATTTGTACTCTTCCCAAATGGAGCCAAAATGTATGCTAGTATAAGGTTTCTCTTCAAGTATCCTCTTCGAATATGTCTTGTCTTTTATATTACAGTCTTCTTATTGTATTCTCCTCCTCTCTTTCATTCGGTTTTAAATCTCACTTGTAAAAGAAAAAATGCAAATGCAGAGGGAAATAAGCCATCTGCAATTGAGTGCTTTTACTTGGCTGATTATGGATCCTCTATTGAAGACTGTTACTTTAAAAAATATATGGGGATCAACCTATCTACGGTTTTATTCTTTAACTTGGCTGACTATAGCTTTCTACAAGTGCAAACCAGAAGACTAAAAGAAGAGATAAAAATTATTCATAATCTGATTGTTTAATCCAATGGACCACAGTTTCTTTTGAATATAAGGGCCTGTTCGTTTGCTCTGAAATCTGACATCTGAAAGTACAATAATTACATTAAGAGGTATATTGGTATTGGTGAACTTTTCTTTCCTCTGAACTCTGAATGCAGAGAATGTTGTTCTGAATTCTGAATTCTGAAAATTATCAAATATCCATTTTGACCCCATATATGAGAGTTTTTGTTTGTCTTTTTGGGGGTATCATTGGAAAACAAAAAGTTGTATGATTGCACTTTAAGAGAGAAGAGATAAGAAGAAACGAACAACCATTTTTCTCTTAAAGTTAAAAGATCCCTCTTAAGAGATAAGAGTTAAGAGGAAACAAACGGGCCCTAAGATCCAGAAGAATCACACTGTTTACATCCGGGTTACTTAAATTGGCTAAGTACAGTCTTTTGTATGAGGAGAAGGAATGGGAAGAATTTGCCAAGTATTTGTATCAATTATCATATTTGTAAAGAGAGATAACATTTTAAGTTTTCTGATTGTATTTCTCATTTCTATGAAGTTTGTAAAGTTATGTTAAAGAAAACTAGAAATTTCTTTATGTGGTTTTGTTGCACATATTGATTTGTTTTGCTTGTTTATTTCTTTAGGTAAAAATCAAAGGGTTTCTTTGCTCTTTGCTCTTTGAGTAATTATGTGCTACAAGAATTTCTTTAAAATTTAACACCAACATCTGGTCATTGAAGCCCCTCCATTCTAAATGTAAAGAATAGTTGATTAATACCAATTGCTTCATTCCTTCCAGTGCACCACCAAATTTTGAGTGTTAGATAAAAGTGGATTCATTGGGTTTGAGGAGTTTTCTAAACAGATCTTGATCTAAGAATTATTTCAAGAAAACTGTTTCCAATAAGAAAAGGAATTATTTCAAGAGAAAGAACTAGATCGTAAAAGTCACAGAATTAATCCATACTGGCCTATTACAAGAAGTCGGCACTATTCCTTCCTAGCTATTTTGGAATAATGCATTGAATCAGGGAGACATGCCTTACCATTCTAAATTAGGTTGTAGTGGGTTGTCTGCATTAGAAGAGTGGTGTTTCAATCCTCCTAAGACTCCTGAATGGAGGTCTTTTTATGGAAGACGCTTTGGCATTAAATCAAGAATCTTGAAGTTTTCAGCAGCATGTGATTGCTGCAACTGGTATCAGCAATGGACGGTATAACAGAGAGATAGAGTCAAACTGTGGGTTGACCATTGAGATTTTAGAAGCATATTATGAATGGCTTTGTTTGTTTTTATCAGCACATTCAGTTCTAGGTGTATTACCTGAGGTGACTTGGGGGTGGGGAGAGTCTTCTAAGTTTTGTTTTTTTAGCTGTACCTTATGGACGGAGATGGAAGTGTGATGCTTTCTCTAAAACTTGGAAACAGCTTCAAACAGCTTCAATGACTAGGAGGTTGTATATTTGGTTGGTATTTTTTCTTGTATGAAGAGGAAAATTTGCTTTAAAGTTCACCTTATGGATACATTCTCAGTTAAATATTTTCTTTGAATTTGATGCCTTCTGCTACTCCCCCCTGAAAAACTTTGTCTTGGCTCATCCCATTCTCAATGAGGTGGCTTTAGTTTTTCTATGTATTTTCTTTGTTGTTGGTCAGGCATCTTTTGACAAAATTCTAATTAACTTACCATTTTGATCATTAGTGTTGATGCATGTAAAACTTTTCCAGCCTTTGTTATTAATCATAGATAAAAAAAAGAAAAATACACTTTTACATTTTCATCCTTGGCTCCTTTGGTTTTCAGCTATGTTACATGGACACAGCAAGGACACATCTTGTCCAACAAGTCTGAAACGTAATTTACAGTTAAAGTTTCAAGTTTCAAACATAGATGTGCACTCAATTTGAAGTGTCCATGCAACGTAGGTTTTCATTCCTTCTATTTCCTTTTCTTTGAAACAGAAAGAAGCCACATGCTACTTATTTTCAACAAGCTAATAATTAAATAATCCGTGAGATTATTTTCTTGGTTTTGATTTCTCAGGCAAATATCACATTAATCAGCTTTTCCTTTGGGGACATTTTGAATTTCCTCAACCTAGAACTCTATTTATTTTGACATTTTAAATTTCCTCAATCTATAGCTCTATTCATTGGTTGAGAAAAGTAGAAAGGTGGAAGAAGAACAAAAGTAAAATCTTTGAGAAGAGAAAGGAGAGAGGTTGAAAGAAGAGAGAGTTTGGGCAATAAAAAAATGTAGTATTGTTAGAATGCAGAAGTTGCAATATTACCCTTGATAACTTGATATTGTGAAATAGACTTGTTACAATATGGTAAAATACTTTATTTAATAATGAACATTAGTAAGACCCCAAGGATCATACAGGAGTGAAATTGTAGTTCATGCAGTGTGCATCCAAGGGTCCCATCATCCATGGTTCACCATGAAATGAACATGGCCAGAACAAATAAAATATCTAGGCTACAATCAAGATAAATGGACAAACATACAATCCTAAAGGTATAGCTGTGAAATCATATTGATAATATTCTATGTTTGCACATCTATACTGAACAATGTGATGGATTAATTTATTACCAATGTAGGATCTCAAGTCAATTTCTTCCTTTCTGTATTCATCAAAAAAAAAAAAATCTTACTTTCTGTATTTCTTCTGTGTGACCATTGATTGGAAAGCTTTGATCTGATTGGCGTCCTTTATGATCTTTCCACTGCTACAATCAACCAGTTTTCATGCTTTTGTACTCCTTGATCTTCTGGGGGAGGTCTAACTGATTTGCATTCCATGGTACTTTGTGTTTTTTCTTTTTATTGTGAATGGTGCTTTATCAGATATTTAATTGTTCATCTCTTTGTCTTTCTTTTTAGGGGATACTTTTTCTGATGTTGTTGGAAGTCCTTATTATGTTGCACCTGAGGTATTGCGCAAACAGTATGGACCTGAATCAGATGTCTGGAGTGCTGGAGTTATTTTGTACATCTTATTAAGTGGTGTTCCACCTTTTTGGGCAGGTACTGATATCAATGAGTTTATACACTTAATTTCTCTGAAATGCAGATCTAATATTAAAAATATCATTGTTTCTATCTCTACCATGTATTTTCATGCATTTGAATCTGTTTTCTTCCAGAAACTGAGCCAGGGATCTTCAGGCAGATTTTACAAGGAAAACTGGATTTTGAATCTGAACCCTGGCCTAGCATTTCAGAAAGTGCTAAAGATCTGATCCGGAAAATGCTTGAGAGGAATCCAAAGAAAAGACTATCTGCCCATGAAGTTTTGTGTAAGTTATTTGCAATGGAAAGCTAGACAAAGTTCAGATTTTGTAAAGTTATCCATGGATCATAATGGTTAAGGGTCTTTATATATCTTCCATAATTGAGGCGGCTTTCTGTAACAGGTCATCCTTGGATTGTTGATGACACAGTTGCACCAGACAAACCTCTGGATTCTGCAGTTTTATCACGCTTAAAACAATTTTCTGCAATGAACAAACTAAAGAAGATGGCTTTACGTGTAAGTTTTTAGCAAATTTGTAAATTATGCCATCCCTGAAATGTTTTTTGTTACCCCTTGATTGTTGATTGCAATGGATTGCAACTGCATAATGTCTTCAGACAAGTTGGACTGGATTTTGGTATCCATCTTGTGTTGCAACTTGCAAGTGTTGGTTACATCCATTATAGATTGTTATCACGTGTTCCCAGAATAGTTTGACCTAGTCTCCCCAAATCACGCCAATCCATGGATCTGTCACCTACTCCTGTGATCCATATTGACACCTTTTGTTACACTTACTGTTCAAGATAGTTAATGGTTATATGGTCAGCTCAACTAAACCTTAACCCATCTATATGGAATTGGCTGCATTAATCCTGTTCACCACTCTACTAAGCTAATTTTATATCTTGGATATAGTTTTCGTATATTACTTTTCTTTTTTGATATTCCCATAGCTCTTTTCTGAATGTGTACTATTTAATAAAACATAAAGAGCTGAGGACCCCAAAAGCCAATATGTATCTTAATAAAGAGCTGAGGGATTCACATTTTTATGTTTGTGATGATGACTTAAATATAGGAATACTCAAGATTTGATACAGTTAGCTGCTTGGGATTTTACTACTCCTTAGTAGCATTGACACCATAAACCCACTTGCTAGCTCTGATACCATATCAACCATGATGATTGATATCTCAAGGTCTGAGCACAGGCACATTTGAAGTCTTTTGCTTGGTATCTCACTTTCAGGTAAGGTGCCATGAAGTATCATGTGTGCATGTATGCAACATCATAGAGGTAATACTTATCTGTGCCAATCATGCATCTCTTAGAAGAAAAAAAAAACATAACCAACTATATTGTAAAGTCATAATGGTGTGAACAAATCCTTACTAGCAGGGGGTATGGGAAGTTGTTAAGATTGCATGAAACATCGTACAACACTCTAGCATCATGTGCTGTACCTTCCCAACCAGGGATACCATATTGAAATTACATACACCCAACACATTTTGGTAGCACGCCTTCCCTCCTCATCCTCGATATGCTAATTGCCTCTCTGGTGGGACTATTGCATGGACAAGAGTTCCATCCAAAGCACCAACACCACCCTTCAATATTATTAAACAATCTAGTATCAATGCATGCAGTTTACCAGTTTGGGAATTTTTTTATATATTAAATGGCTAGTTACCTTGAATATCTGTTAAAGTCTCCTATGGTATCCCGGGTTGTTTGGATTTGGGTCAAATGTGGTAGGTTGAATCAATTCCTTTGCAAACTCCATCATGGCTTGTAATACTTGATGGAAGTATGCATGCGCAGTCTGGGATGCATGCTGAAACCTTCTCGTCAGAACAGAGAATCTTTCGTTATGGCTTATGCTCAAAAGAAACATTTCTGTCTTCTCTTCCACTGATATATAACAGCTATCCTTTAGCCATCCTCGGCGATGAAAATGGCAACAAATCCTAATATATGCCTCAACCAACATTCTCATCAAATTGATGGCTTTCCGGTCACTTCCTTGTAATAGCTCATGGGGTATAGGCATGGCCAAATAATGACGATTGGTTATGTGGCATCCTCTGTATGCGCCTCCACCATGTTCTTTTCATATACCAATATAGGACGAGAATAACAAAATTTCCTCATCCTTTGTGTCAACATGTTTGATTTTTTGGTATGTACCTATTGTTCAAATACTATCAATTAAAACCAATCTAACAAGCTTCAAATGCATATGTTCAAAACATAACCATTATAATAAAATAATATATACTCGATTTATCAAAGCCAAGGTTCATAAAGTAAGCACAATAGATGTCCAAGCATCCAAAGTAAAAAAAAGTTCCCAGTTCAAGTTCATGGGGGCCCATCCAATTAAAACAATAGAAATCTGCTGAATTAAAAAATATGAAAGAAAGTAGTTTCTTGAAGAGAGAAGGAAGAGAGAAGGAGAAGAAGAGAAGAAGAGAAGTTGAAAGAAAAGAGAGCAATAATCTGGCTGCCCCCTTCACTTATTATTTATACTAAAATAATAGAACAGTACAAAGACAACTATGCCCTTATAGGGCAGCAAAAC